AGATTCAAGGCAACACCAAAATAGGTTGGAATATCTTATTCATTCGCATTGATATGATATTAGTAAATGCACATGGGAGCCAACAAAGAATCTTGTAAATTTAGTAAAGAAAGTTAAAGCTTTTCATTGATGACATCCATCAAAATTAAGATGAAGAATAGCAAATCTTTGCTATAAAAGAAACAAGATCAAAGGAAGATAACACTCTACTTTCTATCCTTCTTTGTAGCTTCTGTGTATTTGTAATACTAAAAAGATAGAGAATCAATAATCAACAAATTTAACTTAAGAGCTTTCATTTGCGGACTTACTAGATGAGCCATTGCAATTGTCACAACCTTCAAGACGATATAATCAAGATGAAGATCTTTAAGAACAACATGTCTTTCTTCAAATAGATGGAAAGATACAACATATTTAGTATCAAGACCTTTGAAGAGACTCTCAATGTTTGGTGATTTTATTAGAGGTAGGAACAACTCCTAATGATATTTCAAATATTTTATTTGAAAGAAGTTACAAAGGCCTCAATAATGACTAAATTAGAGGGTGATCTTCTTATCATAGTATGAGACACTATTAATGGCTAAGAGGACCTATCAACCATCTTCAAAGAAAACAAAGATCAAAGTATGTAGTAAATATAATTTGTAGCATCTTGGATTTTTTTAACATATAAAGATTGTTTGTCATGGAATTTGTTCCTAGAAGGGGAGATAATGTCATAGACATACTTAAGTATTCTAGTAAATACCTATATGATTAGGTAGAAGTATGTAGAAATAAATAAAAGTAGGTTAATTTCATAATATCATTTAAAATAGCTTCCTTGAAACTTCATATATGTTGCTTTGACTTTACATGTATTTGTAGTTGATTGATAGATTAGAAACTTAGTCAACAAGTTAATCATGTATTGATAGCTTACAAAACAAGCTAACTATGTGGTGTACATATAAAAAAATTACCTTATAAGTTAAGATATGTGTCTTGTAAAGTCAACATGTTTTGGAGGTTCTATAGGACGTCGCCATATAGTTCCTAGTTAAGAGTATATATGGAGGCAAGAGTGAAGCCTTCTTCACTCTTGTCAATGCCTTTCTAGTCCTTAGTCTTGTTTCAAGACTTTCTAGTTTCCTTATTTTTGGCAATAGCCATTCTAGTTGAATAATATATCATCTTTGAGTGACATTCTAGTTCTTTTCAGTGTTACAAGAATGTATTGAGGATTTCTTTCTTCAAGATTCATATCTTTGACATCTATTTCAAAAGTATTTAGAATTAACTTAAGCAATTACTTGAAAATTTTAACAAATATTTTTAAATTAATTTTTATAAGAAATTATGCCTTTAAAATATAAAATAAAAATATATAAAAATATTTTTTAAAATTTATTCAAATTATCAACTTATTTATAAAAAAGTTATTATATCTATTTATATTTTTATGAATGTACAAAAAATAATTTTTTAGTTATATTTTTTGATTAATAAAATATATTTATAATTAAAATTATATATATATATATATATATTAAATAGATCCAAGTTTTTATAAAATTACATTCATCATAATTACCAAATTCTTTATTAAAAGCGGATCAATTTAGTATGAACATGGATTTTTTAAAAATTCTTCTATATATATTATATTAAAGATATCCTTTATTAAAAAATAAATTTTAAGTAATTTATTCAAAGACATAATAAATAATTTAAAATGTAAAAATTCTAAGACTAATGTATCTTATGTAGATTTAGTTTCGTGAAGAATCTTAAACTATTTATAAATCTAATATATAGAGGTTCTTCTTTATAAACTCAATATGTAAGATCTCCAATCAACAATCTTATAAAATAATTTATACATTTAGCAATGAGTAGCCATTATCATTATTATTAGTATAAATTATAAAAAAATCCCTTACATGTTACAAAAAATAAAGAAATAAAACATATAGTTAAAAAATTAAAATTCTATTTAACATATAAAACTCTTTGTTTTTTCAATTTAATGAAAAAAATTCTTTTTCTAAAAATCTTTAGAATTTAGAATTTAAAACTATTACTTGTATGTCTTTAATGCATTGCTTATTTTTAATTCATTATTTTTAAAATTTTTACTATTTGATAATAATCTTATGCATTCTATCCAAAAAAAAATTAAATTACATATAGATATATTATTCATCAGTAATAAATTAAATTTTAAAATTAAATTAAAATTTTAAAATTATTTTTTAGACTTAATTTTTTAAATTAATTTAAAATTTTAAAATTATTTTTTAGACTTAATTTTTTTTATTGAATTTATAATTACAAATAAATAATATCTATTAGTTTGATACAAAGTCACTATATTGAGTCTTGTAGCGGCTCAAGAAGTTTTCTAACTTTTAGCAATTATATGCTTATATGTAAGTATTTTGTTGTTGATAACTACCAACATGATTCAAATCTATATTTTCAGTTTAATTATTCATAAAGTTTAAAATTTTTTTTAGAACCTACTTATTAATAAAATTTAAACTTTTATCTTTAAACTTTATTGTAGTAAGATTTGTAATTCTTCTATAAAGAATCACCTTATAAGAATTTGAACTTGTTAATATACACTTGTGCCTACTTCTATATGAATGCTATTATATAGGTTAATCTAATGTTACCATTATAGGATTTAAAACTATTATTCAAGCCTTGTACTTAAGCCACTTTTTTTCTAATTTTTTAGACTATAACCTATATTATTTATGATAATGTACTCAAATCTTAGTCATCTTCAACTAACTCTTGCTACTTCTTATCTCTAATTGTCTTTAAAACTTTATATAATCATTTTTCTACTCCTATTGGCTCCTTGTTGCTCTTATTTGTTATAGAATTTTATCTTTCTAATCTCTTATTATAGCTTTTCTACCTCTTTTAAAAGCAAACATATTTTTAAATAAAAATTTATCTATTTAAACTAGTCTTTTATATGCTTCTAATTTTTTATGTATTTTAATACTAGTTTAAGTATTTTTGATAATAATTCTATCAAATCCATCGAATTTATTTTTCACATATTATTCCACCATGGCATTAAAATTTGTTTGCAATCATAAAGCACTATACAAATAGACTTTTGTTTATTTCTTATGTGGTACTTAATAAAGACCAAAATTTATTTATTTATTTATTATTATTATTTTGTTTCTTTTATAATTTTACCTTCTACTTCTAAATGGGAAGCAATAAACTTAAGTAAAAAATTTAATTCTTAACATTAGTATGATTTTAAAAATTCAAATAACAAATATTGGTTTATATATATAAGGAGGTATAAGAAATAGCAAATTGAGGTTAATTTTTAATTTTTAGATATCTAAAAATTATGATAATGGATTAAAAGAATTTTATATTTATTGATTAAAGGCATATTATTAAAGGTACACAAAAAAACTGATCAAACTTTAACAACTAAATTTAAAAAAATTGGCTATTGTATTATTCATCAATCATAGAATAGAGAGCTATCAATAGTAGAATTTTGTTTTATTTTGTTTTGTTTTTTTGTTTTTTTTTAAAATTTTTTTGATTTGATATATTTTTAAGTTTTTAAGCTTATATTAGACTTATATAGCCAATAGTATAATTTTTTTTGAAACAAATCTAATGATGCAATTAAGAATTGTAAATCGATGAGGTTTATTGCTTAAAATTTAGGTTTTATACAAAGTTACTTAAAATTTTATAAAGATATAATTAGATTTCTTTTAGTATTTTATTATAATTTCTATAGGATTTGCTTAGGTCTTGTTAGGATTTTTTTAGAGTTTGATAGGATTTGAGATTTAAAACTAATAAGATTTTGAGTTGCTGAGTTTGAAGTTTTTTGAGAGGATTTTGGTTGTCAAAAAGGATGTTTCTAAACATGTCATTTTTTTGAATTATTAAAATCATGGTCTAGATTTTTATTAGCTCACTACTATAAATTGAGCCATGTAATGATTTGCAAAAGCCAAATCATACCTTAAACGTATAACAAGATACTATGGATCTCCAATAAAATATGCATAAGGTACAAAAGCCATTAATTTAATATATTGTGATAATCAATTGTTCATTTCTATGTCTAATAATATATACTTTTATGGTTAAAAAATCACTTATATTAAATTTCATCATATTTAATTTTTTCGTTTTAAATGAACTAATATAAATATAAAGATTTATAAATAAAATAAAGATCTTCACAATAATAAAACAACTTACAAAAAAATACTTTAATTTTATGAATGGTTGTTTTCCTTAAAAAATTAATAAATATGAATCAATTAAATTCTATTAATAAAATGATTACTTACTTATGGTCAATATATATATTATTATTACTATAATTAAATGGTTATAAAGAATTCTCTACTCTCTGTTGTAAGAAGAAATATAAGATTTTTCATAATCTCTTATGTTTATTTATTTTTTTTTTTTTATATTAATATGTTATTGTTATTCTTGTATCTTTTACATTATTGAAGCCATGGATCCCTTCTATTACATGAACCAACGGCTTTTTTACAAAATCTACATCCTAAACAAGTTGGATTCAGAGATGAGGGATTAGTCTATGTGCATTCATGTTAATTGCAGCAAGGCAACAACATTAGGATTTGTGGCATTTGAATTGGGTATGTTCACAGACGGTGGACTGGTTAGTAAGTTGGTAGGAGATGAATTAATAACGCCAGAACACTGAAGGATATCAAGACTCGTGATGAGTGTCATCAGATTAGCCATCTGATCAAAAAATAATAATTAATCATATATTGTAGCGTTTTATTCAGGGGTTTGAGTCGGCTTTGAACATATCATTAAAATGGAGGCCACATTCTGAGGCATTAGCTGATTGCAGCGGAAGATTAAGATACTGCTTTAGTGGTTCATGAACTATCACAGATTTGAACCAAACAATGCAAATTAGTGAGGAATTTGTGGAACAGTATCTTTAGGAGAAATCAGGAAAGGATAAGACAATGAACGTTTTAATCATATGAACTGAGATGTCTGTGTAGAAAAACCGACTCCTCTTGGAATCAGCCAACAAAAGAGGCCAATTCCTGGTTTCATTGTTTGAAACCATAGCTCTATATGTTTGCGCCTGTTTCTGGAGAGCATAATAATAGCTTGCCCGCATTTACAGTCCCACAAAACCATGTGAAAAGACAAGCGCATCAAGTTATTTGCATAATTTTGAAGCTATGAATTACGTGCCCAATCTGGTGTTTGGACCAAGTTATCTTTAGCATTGCAGGACAGGTTCCGTTACACAATTTACCAATCTCGAACACTCCTCTCATAATTGACAAAACAAAAAGTGGAGCGGTCGCTAGCAAGTACCCTGAAAGATCACAAGGAGAAGTGACGGAATACCAGGGTCAAAGACGTCCTGTACTGTACATGTGTAATTCTTTTACTCCCTCAGATTACCTCAAGGAATAACTATACATCATGGTATAGAGGAGACCTCACACAGAGCACTCTGCAACCCAGTTTGCATGCAGGAATCAAATCGGCTAAATCCAATGATTAAGCTGAGATCTCAGAGAAAGCGAAGTTGAATTCCAAACTTCCAAGGTATCTCTAAACCTGTGTGAAAATATACAAGGTGCAATCATGGATGGTGTGAAGTTGGAGAAAAGGTGGCTGAACTCATTACCTGTAGGGTTCTCATTTTGGTGCGGAATGACAGGACGAGTTTGATGTCTCATGTCAAAACTTCAAATCCTAAATTACGCACCTCGTCAGATCGCTTCTGTCTAGGTCTCATGTACTTCTTGCAATCTGCACATTACAGTGGTAACCAGTGATTCATAAGGATAAATTTCAGAAACCTTGGGAGAACACACTCGATAAGAAGATTTAAGAAATTGTGAAATTGACCTGACTAAACGCAGTGGTAAATATTATCACAGTTGTTATCACAAAGTCTGCATCACTGGTAATACAGATAGTAGTATGGTACTGCAGGGTGACGTCCACTCTTACAGAACTGATGAGACTTTTGCGAAGGGCTAGACCAGAACTGGACTTATCTGACATCTGGCTCGAGGATGTCTGTACTGGATCGTATGCAAAAGACAGTACTCTTTCACACAATTGCTGTGCACAAGTACAACAAGATCATCGAGCTGGGATTTAAATAGGCTCCGATTAATCACGTCACTTCTGCAGTATCTTGCTTCTCGAGTGCGAGCTGGTACTGGTGTGTTTGCAGGGTAACAAGATTGAACGCAGCAGCTTTACCCTACAGCTATTTAAATCAGGATGAGATATTCGTGCGTTTTGATAAGTACTGATCTAATCAAGCTTTCGATGTGATGGATGACAGAAAATGACCGTCATATCTAGAAGACGCAGACTGAAAGCTCTCTACATATCAGTGGATCAATCTGCGACTCTGTCGCAGTCGAAGAAGATATTGATAAACGCACCACTGGTGGCAACTTGTACGGAGTCTCTTGAACTGATTTAGGAATTGAAATTAACATTTGAAGGTCTGACGTCCTTAAACTTGCATACTAGATGGCAGCAAACATAATCGGATAAGTCCAGTCAAAGTGTTTCGTTATCATAAATGAACAAGGAATGCAAAACTGGCAAAGTAGCCAGATGGGCTCAAAATAATGCATGAAACTGGATTTTTCTGAAGCAGGTTGCTCCCACAGATGGTCAAGGTCTCCGACTTTGTGGAAGCAGAGGAAGAATGTTGAAGCTGAGTTTGCACGATGTTTGCCTTTAAAGGCTCGCACGACTGCAGTACTGCGGCGAGAAGTTCGTATCCAATGTTCTTTCTGCGAAATAGAACTTGGAAGCGCCGATTCATCATCGCAGTGGCGTGCATCTCGCGTTGATCGGCTCCGCGACTTCCTCAAACCGCGTTATTCTTAAATACTTGTTCATGTATATCACGCGGTTGTTCCACCACCCAGACCCTCTGCAACCCTGACATCTGGATAGCGAGCTGCAATCTTACGTATCAACCATAATTGACAGGTAGTCTCGCTTAATTCTCCACCTATAGAACTTCTTTGAAACCGATCTGCACCCACATGAGTCCATTTTACCCTACGTTCTACCCACAGCTGATGTGTTCTAGAATGCTCTTGAAGGTAAAGAATATCAAGAATAGTCTGGATGGCATGAGCTGTAGCTAGTATCCAAGGTAATAAAAATTCTCAGCAAAGTGTTGTGGCACGTGGTTGTTCTACACAGATCAGACTGTTTAGGCTGCTTCATTGTCTTGAAGTAGTGTTTCATTGACTCTCTCCCAACTGCTCGACTTGGGATGAGGTGATCATCCGGTTGTTTGATATCCGCCACCACCTCCCGCAAGACTGTCTGGAAATTTGCGATTTTAAGTCTAGAAATTGTTCAAAATTAATCGAGCAGCTTCGTAGCCGAGGACTATTGCGAAAACTTGACTTGAAAATGGAGTGCATGTAAAGCTTCATTGTCGTTTGAAGGAAGCAAAGCGTGGATGACGTCTATTCTAATAGTCGCATTTAGATTAATGATGTGGAAGATGTTATTTCAAAGTGGGCATATATCAAAACTGTCAGCATAGAGGCACATCGGTGTTTTGTACCTGTTTGGCTCCACTTTTCCATTTTCTTCCCAATACTCAACGACTTTCTGTAAATATCTATACCGTCTCTAACTTCACGCTTGATGACTTTTCGTATGCTCTGATTGATCTATTGCAGAGAAAAATACCTTTCTGGTGCTTCCAAGCAGCCCATTGCGCAAGGAGTTTAAAAGCTGTAGGGCAGGAATGAATTCTTACTGGTAGTATGAATGCGCATTCATTGATATAAATTGATGTTAAGTCCCCTCTGATGGACAAACTTGGGAAAGAATTTACAGACATATTGTGACAGTGAATGCAGCACTTTTTGTAGGAATTCAAAGGTCAATCCAGCATTTCTAACGTATCCTGTAAAATCCTTTGGATGAGAGTGTATGCTAGACGACGTTGATGTGTGATTTCGACCCTGCAGTCCAGGCCTGTTTTGGCTGAACATATATCGAGGTCACGGGGAACTTTTGTGAATTATCAGACAAGATCGAGAAACGACACAGAAATCTTGTCAAAAACATGATTGTAATGATTGGTGTCAGAGCCGCAACTATACTGTATGACTATGTTAAGACAGATCCGACAATAAAACTACTGTACTTGACTAACTGCATACGACGCAGATGTTATAGGTACTGAAGAGAATCCGCCGATACCGACATGAACATACAAAACGGAACGACAATGAGCAAGTCTTCTGCTACGCAATCAAGGAAAAGATCATGGTATGCATTTGCTGATTGCTCTAGACTATACTGATGTGTAAGAAATGATATGCAGTGCGTACATAAGAGCTTTGATAAAAACAGAAAACAACAGACACACTCAAATAGGATAAAAAAACAAAAATAAAAGACTATACAAAACAAAACAAAACCTGGATGCGAAAATCTATTTCATCCCTTGCTATGAAATTCAGGAATGACACAATGGTGGTGAGCACAATGAATACGTTGAAAGTGCTTATATCAATGTAATAAAACGTTGATGCATCACTGTTGCTGTATCCCAAGTTGATTCCACACATCAATATCCAAAACTTGCGTCTATATTTCAAAAGAAAATTTGTGCATAAGCAGGTCCATTTTCATGGAGAAACTGCACGCCGAAGAATACAAACTACACTAACATGTCAGATGCCCTATATACAGTGCGCTGAAAACAGTTAGGCTTCTGTAAAGTGACCTTCACTTCATCCCTGATTAAACTTGAGACTAGTTTAAATTAATACTTAACTGGAAATGCTGAAATTGTGCTTCAGTTGGATCCTTATCAACTCACAGCCCGATTAACTACAAATCCTGCAAGTTGATATCTTCAATCCTGACTGTACTTCGCATGTTCAGAATATTCGCATATTCCACTACTAAGTTAAATCAGAGACTCTGGAAAAATATGACCTACAACCGCCGTAATTTGAAATGATTCAGAAGAACAATAGACGCGGTTGCAGTCACTCTGCAAACCTATGAAACTAGCAGCAGTTCAGCTTCTACGCTGTTATCTACGCCGCCAGGGCGGTCGAGAGACGCAGTTCCATCCTATTATGTTACTCAAAATTACAGTCACTCAAGTCTTCAAGCTGCAGACTTATCCTGTAACCTCAAATAGTGAACACAATTAAGTTCAGTTTTAAAACCATATTTAAAACACTATCAGAAGAATCGTAAATACAAAAAGACTGTTTGTAGTATCGATGACATTAGTTGAAGATATCGAACTTGGTCGAATGAGACTTAAACGTGATTCTACATGGTCCAGATCAGTTGTTTGTTAAGGTAAGGTAAACTCCTGCTCTCCTCAGCTCGTGCTCGGGAACTCCACCGTGGCTGCCAGTGGACCTTTTGAGTTCAGCCTCAGAGGTGGCAGTCAGGTTGAGAAAGCCACTGCCACGTCTGCGAATCGCCATTGCATAGGGATCCGGGGTGTTAAAGGCGCAATCTACATGTTGAGTTAAGTTATCATCGCTAGGAGTGGATATGAAAGAGCTTCCAACATCGGCCATTCCGTAAATGGGTGCACGATACTGGACAGATCCCTCGTCCAGCTTCACTTGTCCAAGAAGCGCGGATTGCTGCACCAGAGACTCTCCTCTAATGTACCTGTTTGAAGAGCCCAATTGCGCATCTGTGAGAGAGGTGCATGCTTTGATTTCATTGATGCAATGTTCAACTTGGGTGACCCTGAGTAATTGTGAGAAGGTCACTTAGACTCGTCTCTGTACAAAGACACGTGAGACCGATGTAAGTATATCTTATTGTGTTAGTCTACTTTACATTATTGCTTACCGTCTCCTCATCTAATTCTATTCACTTGACCTGTAATTGATCCTCACGTATCATGCGGAAAACACAAAAAAGCGATGGTATCTTGCATTTGCAGGGTTCCGGACCCGCTTCGTTCAAAAAGACTGGTAAAAAGATAGGTCAGAATTATTGGTAGTCCAAATGCAAACAGGAGTTGGTGTTGCAAGTATTCTACGGCATTACTAAACATGTGATTCTCTACTCGTAACGATTGATAACGCAAAATCAGATTCTTCCCTAAATCCCATTTGCCGAGAAAGACGTGAGCGGAGCTGAGTACCTCTAAACTGATACTGTTGTTGTGATCGCCCAGCACTCAGCAACTATCCCTCTTATCAAAACACCTAACGACACCAAACTATCTATGCTCAATAAAAGCTCCAAAAGATACAACGATTTCAAGGTGTACCAACCCAAACTGAAACATGTCCATGTTAGTCTCTCCAATGCTCTAGGTTAGCAGGTGTCTCCGCGAGGGTGTTTGCATCTTCGTCGGAAAACGACAGAACTATTAGATTCGCTAAGGTCTAAATAATCACAACCGAGAACCTGGATAACCTGAGTCTATCGCCTAATCAATCTAGTTTAATTCCTCCCTGTAATAACCGCAGGTTTCAAGATTTCAGAAAGACTAGCTCTCAAAAGTATTTTACAGAATCCGCAAACTCACATGATTATTGAAGTTCTCTCAGTACTGGAACAAGGAAAGTGGGCCGTCAATACCTACGAGGCGCACTTTCGAAACGTAAAATTCACAGACGAAAGAAGATAAACTTTCGTGATGTGTCATTGCCTTCCAAGCGATATTCACTATATCTAAATAGAGTGGTATTTAACCAGGGATCGGCGAAAAATATAAATATACCTGCTCACATCAAATGTTGAAGTGGATGCTGAACTAAGTTTGATCTGATCAAAGCCGTCATTTCTCAGGTATTGATCAGGCTCAAAGGACGAAACTGAAAGCGGGTTGCTCTTGGTGAAATCCGAATTGAGCTGGTTCATATCACTGTATTGCTGAGAGTGGTGCATCAGAACATTAGCCTCCTGCCCAGAGCTCACATCCACGACACTCGAGCTAGCCCCCAACGAACCCACAATTTGTTCCATGCGCGCCTGCTCGACGACCGCCCACTTCTCATCATCAATCTCTCTCAAGAGGTTTCGAAGTATATTTTCAAAATTCTCTCTAAACTTAATGCCAAGTTCCCAAGAAAAGTAGCTCAAAACAGAAATTTTAGGATTGTGGATGCAACCGACCAAAACCCTCCCAGACGACTGATTCCAAAGACTTTGCCATCTTCATAAGGTTACCTGCTGATTAAAAGTGTGCTGCTGTTGGAGCAAGTACATCTGTTCTCGAGCCACGGCGAGCTCATCCTTGAGCTTCGAAACCTGGTTTTGCAGGATAGTGGTGACACCCAGACACCCGTGAACTGGGTCTTTCTCCCTCGTGTCGGCCTCGTAAATTATAGATTTCACAGTGTCTTCACGCTTGCTTGGGTCGACGTGCTTGAGGATGCGGAGAATATTGGAAACCCCGAATAATTTGTGCACGTTCTGAAACCGTTTAGGCTGGTCGGGTGGGAAATAAGGTGACAAAGGGCAGTCGGGGGAGCATTTCCTGCGCTGGTACTTGCAGGCGGCACATGCAGCGTTCGTACCGCTAGAACCTGACGACCCTGACATGTTGATTTGAACTTCGTCCTCGACGGCGACGTGCGCAGAATCAGTCACCGACTCTGGAAACCTCTATCCTTAGGCCAAGCGCCAGAAACGTACCGCGAAAGCAATGCCGTCACAAACCTGCATCATGATACGGCTCATCGCAGTATTCTCACCTCAATCTTTCCACTGACGATAAAACAAACAAAAAGATCTACTACCAAGCGTCAGCTTTGCTATTCAATAACCTGAACCTACGGCAGCTGTGCGATGACCCCTCCTACTGCTTGCTCTGGTGGACCCGCCCCCACCTGATCCAGCTAACTCAGCCGAACGCTGGTGCAAGCGCCGTCCCCAACCAAATCACTGCCGCTTCTACTGCCTTCCCTCGAATCCATACCATAATTTTAAACACGAATTACAATAAACTCCTGTCGTATCATCTTGTGATGATCACACCACACCAACACTACTCGCAAAAAAAAATCTTAACAAACTGTTGCGGCCACTAGTACCCATGGCACAAGCTCGATTCTCAAACACCCTCCAGCATCCGAACCTAATCGAAACGGGACAAGTTGCTAGTATTGACGGTATGAACTGAAAGCGGCGGTAGAGAGATGGAACAAGACGAAGTCGAGCGCGACGCTGCGAGGGTGAGCGGTTGTAGATTGGAGAGGAGGCGAAGATCAAGGGGGGGGGGGGGGGGGGGGGGGGGGTTGTTGGGGTGGAGTGGGTGCTGCCGTTAGGGCTGCTACGAAGAATAAGAGTCTCCACAGGCCTCGGCCCCACAAGTTCGAAGACCCCGGCCCACTGCTCCATGTTGCGAAGCTTCTCATTCCTGGGCTCTGTTACAATTTACCGAATCACGCTGTTGTAGCGAAGGTGAAAAGAAAACTAACACTTTAGCAGTAAGTCAATCCTTTGCCCTGGGATTGCTTTTAAGTTCCAAATTAGAGCAGATGGGGTCTTCATTACACAATTCCTATTGTTGTGTACATCCAACTCCTGCAACTTGTAGCCAGTTTATTTCCGCATTGAGTGGAGGTCGCCGGCCACCCTCACACCCAGACGAGTGCAGGCCTTTTGGCTCCTCACTGCAGACATCTTAAAGAGATGTCCTTCAGATGTGGAGAATGGCTGTGTCTGTATGTGAGAGAGAATCAATACTTTTTAGATCATTACACCTACTCCGTATGGAAGCAGAGTTAGTTTTAACATTCCTAATAGGAGAAGGTGTTCAAATCCGGAGGCAGTTAGGTTAAATAAGGACAATTTATCACGCTGAGATTTTCATGTTCCAATGCAGCACACACGGGAACGAATAAATTTTCAATGAAATTATTCGAATCGCGGTTGGGGAAAAAAATGTGCGTTTTCTTTAAGGATGCACAACCATAACCGCTCCGACGTTGACTTGCGGTTCGTAGGTCTCTATTAAATTGCCGCTACACAGGCGCCTGCGTTCACTCCCTCCATGTTTCTGTGGCACAGCAGTTCATCCGGCGCGCCTACATAAGATATTACCAGGGTATACAAAGCGCTACAGTGGAAACTCGAACCAACTTCTCCCCCATCTGCTATAAATCAATAGGACGAAAAGGACCTATGTGTCCTGGCGCGTAGTATGCCGGTGCTGCCATACCCCTATATTTGGCGGCGCCTTTTATTCCAATTTGCTATCGAGTACATGTACGTTCTTTCTGGTGGCACCTGATGCAGCAACTGGATTCCTCAAGGGTGTACTGCTTCCTAGATTAGACAGCCAACTGAGCACTGGCAGCACATACACGATTCTTTGAGGATTATTCAGCTTTTAGGGAGTTTAGGAAGAAACCTAGGTTAATCATCTTCAGGTTGGGGAACTTTCAGCTGTCGGTTTTGCGAAGTGGAGAACTACTTCAAGGCGAGGACCTATGCTCTGAACATTATCCTGATGCATTGGGTTATGAATGTGGCCTCAACTCAAGATAATTTCGGCATCATGCATTAACCAATGAATACTGTCACCGAGATCCAGTACAAGTACTAGCAGTTTTGAAATACCCTTGTAAAGATCCATTTGTTTTGAACTCACAGATAAAAAGGCTTGTAATGTTGCAAACTCAGGAGTTCTCTTGTGAGAATGAGGGAAGTGTGGACGATCCAACTCAAGTAGCCCGATAGCATCAGAGCAAAAACCGGATGTGTTCGTCGAATTAATGAGTATATTCTGCCTATTGTAAACAAAATTGTCTTGCTCATCACGTACGAGGAGTGCAAATATAGATCTGAAACCCTGGCAGTACCTCGGAAATCCCGAGTGTAGAGACAAAGGGTGGAGAATCTGCCAGTTTTGTCAATCTGGACACAGTTTAGAGAACCTGCAGTCCTTAAAAGAGGCAAAGCTTATAAAAGACTAATCCGATACAACAGGATATCATGATTCCACACAAAAGCCTTCCAGAATCCAGATCTTGAATTCTTATATTTTAAGCTAAGCACTAAATCTGCTCGCTTCAGGATTCTGAAACTCATTATTATTATCCAAGCATTGGCTGAGCTGGGCTTCTGACGCCCGAGGAAATTGGAAAATGGAACCTAAACCATCACCGCCATCGAAAAACCTTTTTATGCATCTCCAGCGCTCGGGCTGCAATGTGTCTTCAACGATCTATATCACAGTAAACATGAAATACTAGCCACACTACAAATAACCAACTTCCCACGGAAAACTTCACAAGTGACCATCATGCAAAAACAAAGCATTTCAACTTATCAATTAATATGACAAACAGAGTGTAAAGATTAGTGAAAGAAATGGAGCAACCATGTTCACTTCATGAAGAATAACTTCAATATAACATCATCTTAGATCTGTGCCTGAAAGGCGTAAGGCCTTGAATGCGGATGACGGAGTGCATTTCTTTTTCACATGGCGACAGGGGAGCTTGAGGCGGTCCTTGCGTGAACAAAACAGTGATCAGATCCCAACGCCGACACCCACATCGCCAAGACGGCAATCATTATGCACTCATTATCACTTATGATAGCAACGAATCAACGACTGACTTCAAGAGTGATTCATGGAGTGTAGCGACGGCAATTAGATTTGGAAGAGGACTGCAGTGGCGCACTGGGTTGGCAGTGGAAAGGCAGAGGACCAACAGATGACCACCCAAGAAGGGCAATGAAGAGAGACCCCAGTTCTAGTTTGAACAGAGGAGATATGCGGCGCACGCTTGGCTGCGACGGTGACCAGATTGACGCAAGCAGAAGCAGAAGCACGGGGCAAACATCTCGTTCTCTAGGACAGAGAACCTGCCAAGAGGGACTCTAATAAAACTACGACAATAGAAACCAGTGAGATTCAGCTCCCAGAGCAGGAATTCAACACGAACTGGAGCATTCTGAGCGCGACGATGCATCCGCGCAGGCACGATCCAGACTTCGGTAACGTCCTCATTGAAAGGGATGCGATCCGATCTGATCCAACCTCAACACTCGTCTCGCTTCATGATGGTGCGATCCACCGGAACGAAACTGCTCGGGACTCATCAAGTTCTGCGCTGCAGTTTCACCAATCTCCAGCTTAAGTGATTTAGTTCTTTCAATGTTTACATACGCATAATATTATGCTTGTAGCAATTGAATTAAGTACTCTACTTCCAATTTTAATATCTGCTAGATTCTAGATTTCAGTGCGTCAATTGATAGTTATACCAATTCTATATCATACATCTGTTGATTATTCATGACTTATTCCATCTCTTGAAAACAGAAAAACAATCAAATTATTTTTTTGAACTTCTCTCTAATTTCTATCTAAAAATCTATTTACTTTTGTTTAGGCTTGACTAGATTAGATAGTCTAAATACATTCTACACATTTCTGTCCAAAGTAAAGATATTTTTTAAATTACACATAATTTGTGCTATGTATATAAAGATTGTTTTAGAATAAATGAGAATTTTTATGTTTTTAACTAATTTTTTAAAATAACGTGTTTTTTTTTTAAGTTCTTTTTCTTTTAATTCAGATTTTTCTTAATCAAGCTTATCTATAGTTTTTTGTCTCTTATAAACTTAATATTAGATAATATTTTTAGACAAATAAAATTTTGATTTGGCCCAATTTAGTTCTACCTATAAGATTATTATTATATAATCCAGTATACTAGATTATTATCTAGTATAACTAAATCTAGTATATTGGATAATAAATATAGTATATTGGATTTAGTTAGAATTTCTACTAATTTATTGGTAATATGTTTGTTTCTTTTTATTTTAAAGATAAATTTTCTAATTTTTTTATAACTTATTGTTATTCTCTACAGATATAATTAATACTTTGAACTCTATTTAATTTATTTGATTATTTTATATTTTTATGATATAGATAGATTAATAAAGAATCATCATGCATCATTTTCTTATATCACAATATATATATATATATATATATATATGAAAGGTGACATCACATTAATATTGATATTGATTGTTTCTTTGATTCATTTTTAAAGTACTAACAAAGATAATATTTAATTCTAACTTATTCATTTTTAAAGAAAAAAATCTTAAGATATTTTTAAATATAGTTCTAAGATATTGAATTTTAAAAAAACAAGAATTGAAAAAAAATATATTTTCTCAGTTGATAGTTTCTTAAGTAATAAGAATCTTATTTAACTTAAATTTAGATATTAAAAATTCTTTGATTTAAATGTATGATTTCTAATAGTATCAATTAGAACTACTCTTACAAGGCTTTTGTAAAATTCTTGTAAGATATACTTAATGATGTTAAAGATTTTTAGTTATCGATAAGAACTTGGTTTAGGGTGGTTAATTATTTTGAGGTAGTCTTCTTTCATAATTTTCAAGGTTCTTCAAAAACCTTTGTACTACCACAATTAGGTCTAAATATCTTTTCAGAATTTATTTCTTTTATTTTCTCACAAAATTATTATTAATTATACACATTATTAACATTCTTTCTTGTCTCTTCAATAATATTTTAATACCCCTAAATATGAAGTTAGAAGTTGGTTTAGATTCACATAAGATATAGATTTTTTTTGTTAATATAACTTAATAATCTAAAAATAGATAAAATATATAATAGGTATCACAATATTATAAGCCTTAAAAATTTTGAAATATTTTGATATGATAATGAGAATGATTATTTAAATACTAAAATTCTTAATTAATTTTTTATTTTTCTAAATAATTTTTTTAAGTAATATATATATATATATATATATATATATATATACACTGAATATTATACTTTTATAACTTATTATGGTTTAAAAAATAATAATATATTATTTAATCATGTAAGATATATATATATATATATATATATATATATTAACTACAAAGAAATTATGTACATATCTAATCATATATCAAACCATATTTCTTGTCTTTTTTTTATTGTATGTTGTATTGCTTCCAATCCCTTGTTTTATAAGTAAGAAAGACAACATAAGATAAAAATTCCTATATTTGAAATCATTACAACTTCTAACTAAATATATATATATAAATATATATATATATATATATATTATATTTAATCATATTTAATAATTAAAAATAACCAAATTTGATATATTTTTAAAATTTAAAATAATAATATAAATAATTATTTAATTTCAAATTTAATTTTGAAATAGAAGAAATATGAAACAATTTTAATTAC